TGTTGTGATTCAATGTTGTGCTTTGTGTGCATGTTTGCATAAACAAAATTAGACCGAAACTAATGAGTTTTTCACACTTTTTCAAAACTAGGTGAATGTAATGGTTTTATTAGTTTTTGGCACATAGTAAAATCCGATTTTACGATTTTTCGAATCGATGTCAATGCAAAATGTTCTCTAGAAAATTAAAAATTGACTCATAACGAATGTTTTGCGGGAAAAAATCATACTCTCAATGTAGTGTCAACGTAACGGTCTGTTTGCATCGTAAAAAAATGGGTAAACATATGAAACGGGTGAAATGAAATGTAAACATTTGGTATCGCGTTGATGGTGCGCAATCGCGCATGCCACGTGTAGTTGCTATAGCAGCATAAACGTACACAATATATCAGCGATACATTTTATTGTGATTAATTTCATCGAAGTTAGACTTGAAGTTGAAATTTATTGCTTTTATTAATTACGCTGTAAAAAAATATGTCCTATAAAGAGGTTCGAGGTAATTGTCGCTTACTTTCAATGTTGTGCTAGTGATGAAATTAATTTTATCTTTGTTCATTAATTGCGTTTAGATTTGTTTGAATACTTGAAAATTCTCGGCTATCCGAAACCACTGAAATTGACGGCACTGTATACGGATCAAGGATCATTGGAGAATTTTAAATTGATTTTTGATATATTACGGTGGCTCATTGACCAATATGAACCGGGAACAATTTTACTGGGCAGCACTGATTCGGAAATGGATCGAACACTCTTGGTTCGAAGTACTGTTGAATTTTTAGTTGTAAAAGCTGGCATCAAATTGAATCCGATGCGATTATACGCTAGCTCAATGGTTTCGGCACCTGAATTGCTGAAAGTTGTTAATTTGATTATGAAACGGCCAACGTTACAATCACAGGACGCAGATGTTATGAATGAAAATCAATATCGTAAAGTAGCTGAAATCGATATCGATGATAAGGTTTCTTGCGTTTCTATCATTATTTTTCCCTGCTACATTATTCCAACATATTTTCATTTCAGATCAAAGCCAGACAACGCGGTCGCGAATTATCTTCAGAGCTAACGCAAATCGGTGCAACACTTTATGACCTTTTGGGTAAGGAAAATGAAAATCAAGAGAAACGAAACTCACAAGCCGGCCGCCAAATGGAATCATCAAATGTTGGTCGAATTTTGAGCAATGTCATTGCATCGGCCAATGTAAAAGTATCGACCGATAAGGCCTTATTAGATTCGGTTTTGATGGAACGACAAGCCATTTCAGCGAAAATTGAACGGAGAAAAGCCGATTTGGAGAGACTTAAACAACGATTGGATACACTTCAAAAGATTCGGTAAGATTCTTTCAATTTAAAAGATATATTTCCAATAAAAGACTAGAATTTACTTTGTTTTTATTTTCAATCGTATAGGCCTGCATTTTCTGAAGAATTTGAAAAGGCTGAGGAAGAACTAGAAAAATTGTACGTTGAATATTTGACACATATTCGATGTTTGGATGCTTTGAGAGCCCAAATGAGTGTCAATGCAAAAGTAGCACAGCCTCTGTCCGAAGCCAGCAAGTCAAGTGCTCCGGCAAGTATGATTCTTTTGCCAGACGGAATTCTTGATTTCTCCGACGAACTTAGTAACGATGGCGATGACTTGCTTGATGACGAAGCAAATGAATTGAAACTTAAGAGACCAACTGAGATTAATGAAGAAGTTGATGCGGTAAAGGCGGACAAAGCTACCGAAAATGATCCAATTAAAGCCAAGCTTCGAATTAAAACGGGAGGTATGTGTTTTGAATTTACTATTCATTTTATTCAAGTAAAAAACTGAATTATTGTATTTAACACTCAGTGCGTAGAACAGATGATCCGCGTCTCATTGGTACTATGCTTGGTGAAGAGGGTGAATCAGATTTCGATAGTTCATTGGATTACAATGAAGGAGAGGAAGATTCCGATGATTCTGATTTGAATTTGGAAAACGATCCAGCCGCAAATGTCGAGGCCTTATACAATTTTAGTGAAAATGTACCGGCACGCATTAAATCGGCAAAACCAAAGGTCTATCAAAGTGATGAAGATTTTTAAAATTCAAGATTTTTGAATCACCAATCAAACCCTTGTCACTGACTATTGACAGATTTCTGCTGCAATGAACAAATAAAGAAGAAATAAAAGAAAATATGTTGATTCAATTTTGATAGAGTGTACCATTTCAAATAGAGCACATATTTGACAAATTCCATTAAATAATAATGTTTTGTGGATTCGAAAAAGAAAAACCATATAATAGCATGTAATACATTTATATATATTGATACATTTTGGTGCAGAATCAATGCATATTAAATAATTGCCCCAAATTGCAGGACGTTTGAATATTTTTCTTTTAATTTTTCAATAAATGTCACTTAATTCACTAAAATATGTACGTTTTCAATAGAGACGTGTGTGTGTGTGTATTTTCAATATGTTTGTTTTTCCATTATTTTAAGGTACTTGATGGTTTTTGGCTTTTATTTACATGTTCTTATTTCTTATTGATTAACAAATTCAAGTGTTCAATTTCAAATGTGTTTGAATTGGCCATTTATAAATTTTTTCTCAACAATCTATAGACGAAATATATAACTAACTCCTTTATTTCCATTTCAATGTAAAATTTTGTTCAAATTTAATACTTTGCCGGAAAAAAAATATGTGTATATAATAATGCTTACGAAATGCAGAAAAATTCTCAACGGCAATGGTAATTTTGTGTCCAGTTACAAAAGTTCGACGAAGTTATGATGGGACATACAGCGGTATATTCTGATTAATTGAATTGTGTGGACGGTTTTTTTTAGGGATATAAAGTGATTTTGTCATTTAGCAAATTGAATGCAGAAAATTTACGGGCGAAGAAAACTCTAATGAAACAATAAATTGAATGACTAGTGAAAGGAGATTGTTTCCCCTTTGAAATGCTTACTTAACTATTTTCCATTGTTTTGTCTATGTATAATGTGTTAGTGATTAAGTCTCATGGATGAATTTACACCTTGTTTTATTTAGTACATATGCCTTATTGTGTACGACCAAAAAAATATGCTTTTCTCTACTTGATTCTTGATACGAACGAAAAATGAAACGGTTGACATTCATTTAGATTTATTTGCTCATATTGTTTATATATGTGTATTGTGGTTTTGTTTCAAATCAGTTTCCAATAGGAAATGGGTTGAATATGTGATATAAATTGAGTATTTATAAATTCCTTAATGCGAACAAACAACAGGTAGGTGATAAATTACACTAAACTCAATTCAATTTTGTGTGTCAATTGAATTTCTATTATATTATTGGACCTCACATGATGCGCTCACGTCGCTATATTATACTAATATTTTGTTGTTGTTTTTTCTTTTATTCACTTAATATTTATAATACTAAATATTGTTGCAATAGCATATCATTGAGCTTTTATCTCTGATAAAATCTTCAAATTTTCTTCTTTTCTCATTCAATATACATACACCGTGGTTAATGGAATAATAATTGGTTTTCAATAACATTTATCAAAAATAGGATTTGTGTGCTTGATGCTTAATATTAACGTGATTTAATTTTTGTTTTAGAGAAACCGTGAACGGGCTATTATTGACAGTGTGTCAATGTCAATTTACAAATAAGTTCAGCATTCTTTTATTATATGTGCATTGCTGATGATGCGTTCTTAGTGCCTTCTTTTAGAAACGCATTCAATCCTATTTTCGCTTCTTATTTCACAAAATTTATCAACTAAACTTTTTTTTTACATCTAAAACCTTCAAACATTTCTTTTCTTTTTTTTTTTTTAAATCGACAGAAAAAAACCTGTCTAAACAAATATTTACACAATTATTGGAATTTCAAACAAATTTTCCTCTAATTTAATTTAACTATTTGAATGGGGCTATAATAATTTCTTATTTTCCATCCGAACCGATGCTGTGATGCTTGAAAGCACTTCGAATCTTCGATAAATACTGCGAACAAATGTGACCATAACATTTATTATACCATTCGGGGCTGCGGCCTCTGAAATGATGCAGTTAAAAATGATATATTTAATTGGTTTTCAAGAAATGGAAAAACGATGAAGTAGAAGAAGAAGTAGAAAAAAGAAGAAATGGTTTTCCAAACTTACTTTGTGTCGACACGCGCCAAGTGCATAATTTTCGATTTTCCATTACCGATTGGTTCGATGAGGTAGCGAGATGCAAGCACAACACCTCTGACACCGCCCAATAGCAAATGTGCATCGGAATGAGCTACGGACGTTTCAACAACTACACAGGCACCGCGTGGTAAATCCGCTCGCCAAGATCTAAGCAAAAAAAAAATGCGATTTATTAGTACTTTGAAAATAAATTAATTTGATCGTTCTGTTCAATTATTACCTCAGAACACAGTAATCAGTGATGACATGGCCGCCAGTGGCATATTGGAAAATTTCACTGTGATCATCGAGTTGCTCAACGATGCGGCATTTCATGAGATATGAATCCCATTGACGTCGTTCTTTGAAAATAAAGTGCAATATTTCCATTGGTGTCGCTTCAATTTCGGTTGTGCAACGCCAAAGTCGTAGTGGATGACCGTCGCCAACTTTTTTGTGTGCAACATCAATGAATGGATCGAATGTTTGCATTGAAATCCAACCACGTGATTTTTCGCGTCCTTCCTTAATCGTTGCACTCGTGCACTCATACAGATACCTGCATAAAAACCATTACAATTAATATACTTAACCTCAAATTGTGACAGATTAATATGAAACTTACCCACGCCAATCGTGCACTTGTAAACCTTCTCCCAATGCTTCCAATGGTACTGGTTTTGATTCCTCCATGTAATTGAAATTACATCGCTGCACTTTTTCATTTGAGATGCTGAACAATTTGCGATAATTTTCAATCATGTATGTAAGGCAATCGTGCGAGGCACGTGTTTCAGTCAATTCTCTTGAGTCCGGCATTCCGGTTGGTTTGCGTCGACGTGGCGATACGGAGTTTGATCGTGGCGGTGCCGAAAATGCGCCGTGGAACAGTGATGGTGCCAAACATACGGCCAAATTATTGCTTGTCATTTGATTGATCATCGCATGACCGGCGACATTATGTAAGAATTCCAATAAATATTGTAACACCTCACGATGCTCATCGGGCAACAACAAAATCGCCGATTGCACTGCATCGAAATGCACTTCGGCTGGTAAGTCTATTGAATTGGAAGGAATAAATTTAAAATTTGTAAAAAAACAAAAATTGAAGTGTAAATTTGAACTTACGTTGGAAGATTGCAATAAATGTGTCCGACATTTTGGCCGTGAGCAATGTGTCCGGCAATTCACGGAAGTACTGCTTTAACATATCAGCCACGTCGTATGCCTGTTGCAAGTCATACGTTTCCATAACATCACCGTGTGAGTCTTCAATCAGTTCTTTTAATTTTGCTATGCGTGATTTGACGCCAGATTTTCGGAACAAACCAACCTGAAAGTGATTTTGATTAGATTTGCTTTTGTCACAAATAATACACACAATATATTAAACACTTACTTGATCCAATGCATTCAATTTCAACCATTTAAAAGCTGTTTGAATGGCTGTTGGCATGGTTTGTCCGGTTCGTTGCAAAAATAGCACTAATGGAACACCAAATACTCTTTTATCTACAAAAAACGAACGAAAACGTTAGAAACTAATCAAGCGAATGAATCTCAAAAAACACACGACGCTTACCTTTATAGTCTGGCGTTTTAATCTTTTTGATGAATTTCGGTAGCTCCCAATTCCATCCAGAGCGATGTGTTGGACAATATCTTTCCATGTATCCGGTTAAAGTGACTAGAGCTAATTTTCTCACAACCTGTCGGATATTAAAGCAAGCACACAAAATTAAAATTGTTTTTTTTTTTCATTGAATCATGAATGGATATTTGTTTTAACATACTTGCAATTGACCACAAGACATTGAAGCCAATAATGTTCCGGCATCTTGTTTAAAATCTGGTGTTTTAATCGTTATTTTGCACCATTCTGGTCGTTCACCATTTTGAAAGCTATGCCATCGTACAACGGAGCTTCTGAAGTTCAAACGAATAGTAATGAAAATACAAATTCAGACATTTAAAAATAAACAATTTCGTTTCGAGTAAGAACAAAGGGAAATTTAAACAAACGAACCAAAAAATTCATTTGATGCGTTTAAATTTATCCGCATTAATGCCGAATGCTAAAAATATCGTTTCTAAAAACAAACCTTGTTCTGAATTTATTATCAAATTCACCATCTGCTTTAACTCTGGCCGAGCTACGTGAACGAAAACTTCTGCTTTTAAACGATTCTTTGAATTTCTGTGATTCTTTGCCCAAATTCAATGAACCGCCACGTGAGAATTTTGACGATTTTGGATCAATGGTGTTGTCAACGCTGTTATTATTGTTATTATTCACCGTTAATTGATTGCCATCGTGGAAAATACGATTTCGCTGTCTTGAGAACATTTGATGACATTCGGAATCCGATAGAGCGCCAATATCTTCAACTTTGCTGCCTTTTTGTAAAAATCGTCTTGTGCGCGATGGTCTCTTCTTTGGTATTGTGCTGACTCCACTGCCAACGCCACCACCGCCGCCTCCACTTGATTCTTGGCTAGCATCACTGCAGTATGACGACGAATCATCACCAGAGCCCTTTAAATCTTTTGTCAATCCGGGATTGTGTGCAAAGAAATGCAATGGACTGGTTCGATTCGATTGGCTGTGCTGGGTGTGCAGATAGGAGTTTGGTGCCAGGTTCGTATAATGACGTGGGCTCAAATGATTCGGACTGAGTTTTTCCGTCGATGAATAATCATTTGCAATCACTCTAAGCTCATTGTTATTGAGTGTGGCTGCCAATTTATTATTTGTTAAAATGGTTGTGTACGGGCTGCCTGGAGCCGGTGACGGTGGTGTTGACATTGTTATAATATTCACCATTTTAAGATCATTCATTTTTGGGCTAATTTGTGATAAGTCCAATGTTTGCGGACCACTAATCACAACACCATCACGATTTTGTCGCTTTCGGCGTCGTGATTTAATCGATTCAACTCGACGCAGAAATGCTTTGGCACCATCTTTTAAACGTTCACTACCCGTTCGACGTAATCGTACCGGAATTTGATCTTGCTCATCGCCTTGCGATTGGGAAAATGACACGCCAATCGGCAGGGTCGAAAAGCCCAATTGTTGTTCATCATTTGTGTCATTCTGTTCGGGACTCGATTCACGTGATGTATTCAATGTACTATTCAATTTTTCAATTGGTTTTTGCATGTCCATCTCACCGACACGTGACCATCGACGATTCGTCTGTTGAAATGTCCAATTTTCACTCAACGCATACTCATCATCCTCTGATTCCTCTTTGTTCTGTAATTAAATTAAAATGACAATCATGAAATAACAAAAAAATAATAATAATTACAACATTTCAAAAACATTCAATTATCAACATCACAAACAGAGAGAGAGAGAGAGAACATTGTAAGCCGATGTCACTCACTTCATATACTGATATGTAATTTAGGTATTACAATTTGTGGAAATAATTATGAAAATGTTGTTAGATGTGACATGAATTGTCACCGCATACACAAAACATGGTGTGCGGTTTGTATTTTATGAACATAAAATAAATACGCAGCAAAATTATGGCAAGCAACAGCAATGCAGATGGGCAAATTGAAAAAATGGATGTAAATGGAACGTTTGCTATGTGTAATCGTCAAACATACACCCAGAGAGAAAGAGAGAGAGAGAGAGAGAGAGAGAATTATAATGTGTCAAGTGGAGTACGTTTGAATTAAGAGTATTATGCAAATACAATTCGAAGTCAACGACAGTTCCGAGCATTTTAATTAAACTCAAATTCTTGTTGATAATGAATAGCTCCATTTTTCGACTAGATTTTCGTGAATGCAATATCAAATTAATGGTAAATGTTTGGGTTCACACCCTATTTCATGCACTATTTGAATTGATATTCGCATGAATTTCGTAATCTATATATGCAAAATTGGGTGTTAATTAATGTTTAAATAATTACATAGAATAACCGCACGAGCACACTCTATTTGTTGTATCCTATAACTTGTATTTATCAATTTTAAACACGCTCATAAATCAAATATGTGCGGTGTACGTTCTACACGTTCAGTTGAATATTAAAATGATATCATTTTCATCATTTTTCCTCATTTTTTTTTTCATGGGAAATACAAAATGTTAGAGGCTAAATGCTTTTTGAAATAAATGTGATGAAAAACATCCGATTGGTTGGTCTGGGTATGGGGTTCTTTTTTCTCTTTCTCTCTCACTCTCAATTGGTCTCTCTCTCTCTCTCTCTCTCTCTCTCTCTCTCTCTTGAAGAATCGTAAAATTTAAAAGAGAACGCTGACGAAAATTAAAAAAAAACCTTGCTCCAATTGCCAATTTTCTTCCATTTGTTTACACACATCGAAATTTCGATTAGTGATTGGAAATATTACGTGCGTAATATCGAGTGTATGTTTGAGTAATATAATTTCTGGTTGTTTGGCCTCATGTAATGCCGGTGTATTGCTCTAGAGAGCGAGAGGAAAAAGAGGTAGGCACACATCGAAGATCGTTTCTATTTTTCGCTCGCCAATTTCGATTTCATGGGTCAAATTGCTTACGTAAAATCGAATTTTAAAAGCATTTTACTATATTCAAACAAACCAATATGAATCAGTACCCAATAAAAGACTGGTTAAATAGCATTTCAAAAGGTTTTTCTAATCTGGTCAATATTTTTATCACTTTATTAAAATAATGTAAATTTTCCGTATGGCTTCGGGGCAATATATTTCTGATCGAAGTAACGTTGGTGTTGTTGCTTTTGCTTCGAATAATCCACTGGTGTCGAGAAAGTATTTCTATAAATAACTATATGGATTTTTATTGACAATAGCACAATTATGTTATTGTTTATCGTTATACGTTATTCCGTATTTTTAGCGATGGGAGTGTGTGTGTGCGGCGAAAAACACGAAGTCAGCCAAAGTGCAACCAAGTGTTTTGATATATTATGTGTTTTTTGTTTATGATTATACATATATATTTATATTCTTTTGCGATGGTCATCATTTCAAGTACTACGTCACATATTGCACACACAGTTGGAAGAAATAAACCAAGAATTTCTCACTCACGATTCGGTTGGAAGAAAAATCGCTTAGACCGACCGCCTTGAGAACGACTTATAAACTATCTTGATTGAAAAGAACAACCGAAGCGATGCGATAGAATGAACCAAACAAACGGTCGCATTTATTTAACTTGAAAGGAATTTGATGTTGAACAAAAACAAGCATACCAAGGCATATTCAGTGAGAGTGCATGAATTTTCTCGCACTCAATCAGCGAACAAACGGCATTCAACGAATTTGATTCAAACCGATTTTCAGCTACAATACATTGTTAATAAATGTATGCGGTCATAGTTCAATTTCAATATAATTTCTGGGTGCATATACACTTGGGTTACGCTTGACTGCCTCGCCACATATGAATTCCACATAAAGCGGCTAGAGCGATGAATCGATTGAATGAAAACGACATTTAATATATGTGAACACTTAATAAATTGATATCTAGTAGGTTTGTTTGGGATGATGTCGGTTGAAATTTGTTTTGGTGTGTTTGATTCGTTTCGAAATCGCTTCAAACTAAGTAAATTCATAAAGTTTGTGTGTTTGTGCATAAAGATTGACTACATCCCAATTAATAATGGCCATCAGTGTAAATAAATGTCTCGAAATTTACATACACAGCTCGACGAAATCGATTGCCGATGGCTAACTTTCTTATGTAAGTGAATGTTTGTATGGCACAAAAACTTTTCTACCCAGATAAATGAGCGTATTTGTTTGCTTCAATTCTATTCAATTCATTATTTAACTGAATTTATCACTACTTCTACTGACGAAGAAAAACCAAACAAAATATTCATCGATGGTCCCAATTTACCACCATATCATATTTAGCAACAAAGTAAATGAAATGGTAGTCGCCTACGTGAAAAGAACAAAGGATGGATGATGTATGGCCAATTAATTAAGACAAACAACATTCTCGTCAAAAAAATGTCTGATTTGTAGGCCAATCGAGAATTGAAACTGTACATATTGTCGACTGTTTAGCTTTCTATTTTAAGCTTCAGTTTTCGTCATAAATGAGTTTTTTTTCGCCCAGAAAATGAAACTTTTCATCATAATGGATTGTATATTTTCAAACCAGTTCCATTAGCCGAAATGGGGTTGCTTATTTTTAAGTTATTAAGCGAAAAAAAACTTCATTTAAAATGCGAGATTTATGTAAAAATATTGAACAGAAATAAATTGTATTGGCTCGGTTGAGACGAACGACGTGTTTACCAATTTTGAATCGTATTTTATCCACTTACATTTGTTCCATGTTTGTGCGCGCTGTCCAATCGCATCGTTGCACAGCGATTTAATGCAACCAACCGTCGATAGAGTGACTGCAGGGGGTCATTTTCCAGGAATGGATGATCTTTGGCCACATTGCTGAGATCAATCGGAAATTGTAAATCTGTGAAATAATTGATAGAAAATAAAGAAAATATAAATATATGTATGAGAATAAACAAAAAATAATAATCTATTCATTGAATGATCAACAAATGGGGTTTTTCACTCGAATTATATATAAACTCATCGAATTCTATCCAAAGTAAATAAATCTATAATCATACGCGCCGAATAATGTAAATATTTTCCCTACACTGAGTCATATTTGCAGCGTTTTCATGGTGGTCTCCTTCTTCAGAACTTCTGAATCAGAAGTACTACATTCTGAACAAGCATATTTTCTCATATGATTCTTATCGGTTACTTAAAAAATGTAAGTTATTGCAGAAAGGTCTGTTTTCGGTTCACATAGAGTCATACCCGATTTAGATGGTTGCTGTTGATAGTCAACTCGTTTGGTGTTACGTACATAATCATCAATCAATTTATTCATTTTGTGAACAATGACTGGAGACAGAGGACAATCCACCTACAACAAATGGCACCGCTTTTTCATACAAAATTCCCTTTTTTTCCTCCTTTTTTTGTTTTCCACTTCAGTTGGAAAAGCCAGCTGCAACAGAACTAACACTTTTGCACCGCACTCACAATATATATGACAGTTTTGATCAACTTTTTTACTGTTCAACTGCTCTCTTGTGCTCTAACGAATGACCGAGAATGAGACTGTTATTTAATTAAAGTTGGAACAACCAGTAACAGCAAAATTGAATTATATTCCGATAGAGAGAGAGAGAGATAGATAGAAAGAGACAAAAGCGGAGCGTTTTTCTCAATGCCTTATTGAATCTCGATAGCTTTTTGTGTTCAGCCATACGTTGCCTTAATAGCTATTAGCTTTTGTATTGAGCATTTTTATTCGCTCAAACAAATAAATTGTATTAAAGTCAAAATCAATTATAATTTTTTTTATCTTTTCTTCCTGAAAAGTGTATGCCTTGACGCATCGGACAGACAACAAATTTAAACACACTCGATTACTTGACTACAAACAGTAATTATGTAAAAAGTCATTTTCATTTATTAACCGTTACATAAAAAAAGTATATTGTGTTCAATGCAAGCGAATTTTTAATGAGACACACTAAAACACACACTCAGACGTACGGTTGCGCTTTGGGCTTTACTTTTGTTTTCACTCTTGAAACACATAAAAAACACGGTTTAAATTTTAATTTAAAATAGTTGAAAGGCGGTAGTTTTTGGTCTTTAATAAACCACAAATTAATAAACAAATTTCGTTTTTATACAGACGAACCGTGGCGTATACAGTGATGGAACACCGTACGATATGAATTCACGAACCGCACTGGCGAAAAGTTGATCAATGAATGACGAACGTCTGTGTGAACCTCAAAGACGACCCGTGCTGCTGCTTTTTAGTTTTTTTTTTAATATGAAATGTTTCATTTCACTTTTTCGGTGAGCTTAGCCGAACGCCAGTTTCGCAGAAAAGTGTGTGTGCGCGTCTTTTTATATTGCGAACGATATTTCATATGAATTTGGTTTGGGTGTATTTAGCCGAGTAAGCGATTGAGCGCACGATTATTCAATGCTATATATACAAAATAGCGAAATATATTCCGACGATTTTTATTATGTGTTTACGAATGGTTAGATTGTTTTGAAGAAAATGCCGTGAATCATATAATTGTGCGATACATGCTCTCGAATCGATTCGTTTATTGCTTAATCTTTATCACAGAGCGCAGGTATGAATATATATATACACATCTCTCAAACTGTGTAATAATCGCGATGTTTGTTAAATCAGCGCAAGAGATCGCGCGTGATATGTATTCACAGTTGAAGATTTAGTGCACAAGTGAATCCGGATACGTATATGGTCTTGGCGTGTTCATATCGACCGCGCGCTAAGTTAATGCAGATACGCGTTATTCTTTATTTTATTTACTCATTTGATTATTTTATCACTGTGCAAACATGCAAAGTCATTTTTAAATTGAATCGTTACACAAATATACTATAGCTACTTTTTTAGTACCAATTGCATTAAAAATTACGACCAGGACATTTTTGGGTGCGAAATGAATCTATCATTCTTAGTTTGCTTGTTTCTAGGGCAACGCATTATGATTGATGAGTGTAAGTATCACTGAACCAATAATACCATTTCGGGTCATCAAATGTACTCAGTACTCGCATCGTCATCGTGAAGGTGAATCCATTCTTGGTGTCTTTGATTCTTTTTTTCTACTCTCGTGTGCACTTATTCGAATCAAATTAAATTGTCGGTGAGATTGATATGGTCACAAGTGTTAGTGAACTCACTCAGACAAAACAAATACTTATTGTGCTAAAATCTTAATAAAACACACACACACACGGGCGCAAGCATCTATATCGATTTCATGCGCGAATTACAAACACCAATAGCCTGTGGATACTAGCAAATGATTGTGTCAAGAAAAGCAATGACGTTTTTATATTATTTGAAAATAATCAACTATGGTAACAATGCATTCTATTTAGACAGTGCACACACACTTCAGTCACACCAGATGAGTCACTCATTTGCTCAACAGCAAATTGACGAGATAAAATTGCTTATTTGATGTATGGTTTTATCTTTCGTCTTATTGTGTCTTTGATAAGTGATTATCAAGACCACTTATTCTATTGTACACGTTTCATGTGCAAATATTGAACTTTGCGGGCTATAAATAAAATTTTACGAAAAAATCGAAACAAAAGCATAAACGATTCTTTTTGGAGGGCATTGGATGAACACCATTTTTTGTATTTATGTGAAGAAAAAAATCACACCCACCACAAATTGTTATGAATTCATTATTTTCACGTGCAATTTTCGCACATCAATTATCGGTTCATTCAACATCACTGTATATGGCAATGAGTTTTTATTCTTGGCATTTTACCACCTACGACTTTGTGAAACTTATTTCAAAAAAAAAAAAAATAATCACGGTGCCTTTAAATTTGACACAGTGCCGTTTCTTTTCTTCACATAATGCGTGACACTTAATTTCTTCCGCCGTAATAAAAGAAAGTCACTTTTTAATACAAAAAACTTTGCAATACAAAGTTTGTAGACGTTTGCTTGTATTGGAATTAGCACCATAATTTGATGACTAATAAATTAGCGAACAAAAAAGTTTGTGTCGAAACGGTCGAAGCTCAACATTACCAAAAAAAAAAAATTAGTTGCACAATTTCACGGGCACAGCTCATCGCAATATTTTGTTTTACATGTGCTTTTATGCATGAGTTCACTGTATTCACAATGACAAATTTCCAGTTCGAAAGATCGATGAGGTGATGGGAATTTCAAGCGAATCTCAATATGGAGATTTACAGTTAAAAATAGTCAACATGTGTCGTTACATGTTTATTTGAATGCGTGAAAAAATCAATGAATTTTGATTCTAAATCATACGTATTTGCAACGTCTGTCAATCTTTTGACTATATTTGGTTTTTGAGAAACTTTTTTTACCTAAAAAACGACCGAACGGAGTCTACTGTACGGTAGTAGGATCTGAGTTCGGTCACTCTTTCGTTTAGTTCAATCCCCCGATTGCTGTAAATAATAATAAGTATAGATATAAAGATTCACTTACCTTCATACATTTGCGCATATTGTGGGAAACCAGCTGCTCTGAGCCATTTGCATGCTTCAATTGCCTCAATTTCTGCAAAAAAAAAAACGAATTTATTAAAATCATATAAAATTTTGAATGAAGATGAATCAAAGAATCATAATCATATTTCTACAGATTATACACATCTTTTGTTGGCACCGTTGAAGTTCGAAACAATGATAATTCCATGAAAAGGGAATCGCCATAGCAAGTCTTTTTCAAATGAGCGCGTTGAATGCCAATCAAACGTTACTCTCAGCCGTATTACACCCGTTGTAAAGTGGCATCGGAGAGATTTCACGAGTATTTGGGTTTGAGACCCATACTGTAACGTGCATTTTCGATGTCGATCTTGTGCGTTATATTTTCTTTGTAGTTTAACGACCGCTTTGCTTATGCTCTATTAGTCGGCGAGCGAATGACGTCAATACACACACACACGCCTGGCATTAGAGTGATAGCTAGAATATGTTTGCAATCGCTATTGATGCCAGAGATTTCGATCAAAAGTACTTTTCAATTCTCTGCGAGTAAATTTACATTTATGATATACATACACATTTTACAATGGGTTCACCATTGAATAGAATTAGAGCTCATCTGTCTTTCGCATCTTAAATGTGCGCACTACGTCGAATTGTACTTTTTTTTCAATTTGCTTTCATAATGGACTTTATGCTATCGCCGCCAACGTAACGCTTGACATTTGAACTCTTGACAATATTATCGGTTGTCGGAATGCTTTTGAAATCATCATGAACTTTTCGAATTTGACGAGTATATTATCTGACGAAAATTGGCGATTGATTGGATTTAGCTTGACATCGTATACCGTGAAGCTATAATGTCAAGTCCGTGGATTTATGTCACAGTGGTGTATGGTGCCGTGTGGGATGAATCATCGTCATTTTGTAACATTGTGTGTTTGATGGCCCTGTACTTTACCAGGGTACGTGTGCAAAATCGACATTTAGCTTTCGAAAAGAGAGAAAAAAGTGCGATTTCAAAATGTTTTCAACTCAAACAAAAGCGCACGTTTCCGTCGTTTTGTCTCCGCTGAAAACAATTCGAAGTGAAAATGCTCACGGAAATGGAATTTCAACCAAAACCAATGCAACAACATGCGCACAAAATTTTATGGGCTTAAATCCAAATGTCGTAGTACTTCATAAAATGCGGTCGCGTAACCAAAAAGAAGAAACTCCTGAAAATTATAACAATCAAAATGAAATTGTCCACACTGCCACTTAATTGTCAAATGAATTGAATAAAATCGCACGTTTTACAGCTCGTGAACATCAGTTCCAACGAAAAATGAGCGTTTTTTTGCCATAATCATGAATCAAATGCAATTTTGTATATTAAAAAAAAACGGCGGTTAATTCGTGCAAGAATGTAATAAGTTTGAACAATGGCCGGGCAGTAACTATGATATTTTTTGTCATTTTTATGATTCATTAAATTATGATGGACTGAATGGACTGGGAGTTATGAATAAATTTCAGAGAGGAGTGAAAGAGAGCGCGCGAGAGTAACGATTTATGTGCTTAAAATTACTTTTAAGTCGACCTATTGTGTGCACATTCGGCACGCATTTGGAAAGTGGTGAAATTTTTCGGCGATTCGGTAATGACTGGAGAGCCGTGATTTTACGGGCAATTAGCGTGTCAAAAACATTCTCTCTTCATCTCATTGTCATGCTGTGCTTGTGATTGGTTTCATTCCGCCCATGCACACCAATTGTTTTTTCATCGTCTTAATATTGTTTTGCATATGTGTTATGTTTTGCAAGCACTTCCTTCATCTGTTCAATTTTCTTTAGTCACGCATTGACTTTTGATATGCATATCAAAAAAGGAACAGAATCTTGTCGTAATCTTTCTTTTCGATTTCACTCAAATAACGTTGTTCACGCCATCGGTTTTTTCTCTCTCGCTGCAACCATTTGATAAAGACTTCGGATGGTAATGGCTTTATTTTGTCCATGGACTGAGTTCAGTAAAGTTAAAATGATGACTTTTTTTTCACTTTTAACTTGGATTAAATGGTGCTACCCTCTCTGAAACTCAATTATCCGGCTTGTACTCTGTGTTTTACTTCGCATCGATATGAACTTTAAATGGACGCCGTGTCGTGCACCTTTAACACCCATTATGTAATTTGTAACAATGTTATTACAACAGTCAATCTCTCTTTCTTGCTCTCTTTCATAAGTGAAAAGCAACGATTCGATTAACAATGGTTGAATGTAAAACAAAACAACAACAACAAAAAAACACCGAAAGAGTGATAACAATAAATTTTGCGGTGCTCGAAGAACTTATTTTGATACGGTCGTTATGTGTTACATGTTATGGGGCTAACACGTGCATTTGTTGTGGTAACAATGTTTGTTTTGTCTGTGAAAAGTGATTATTTGCGTCAAGCGGCGCTTTAACGCTTTTTTTTTTGTGTGTTATAAGTGCAAATTATTGTGTTCAATTTTTAGCGAATATCTTAACGAAATCTGTTGTTACAACTTTGCGTACAATTCAAAATAACATGCGTACCATTCGTTCGTATCATGTCCCGGGCGCGTGTCATGCTTATAATAATATGCATTGTCAACTTATACAGCGATATGTTTGTTAAGTCAATTTTAAACTTATTCAGAGTTAACTTTGAATTTTAGAATGTTCATTCTTTGCACAAGCATTCTTCGTTTCCATTGTAAGTCGTTTGGGAAAATTCTGAAATCGGTTCCGCTTTAATGCAATTAATTTTGCCTCGATCCAAAGTGCAACATCGACCAACACTCAATTTAATTTTCAATCCATTTCGATTCATTGTGAAATGAAATCAGAATTTTGTAATAGTCCTTCGACAACTTTCCGGACATTTGAAAACAAAACTTGGAAAGAAAAACCGTTGCTAACGAGCTTAATTTGCTTGCGGCCGGCGCACACTAAAATTGCCAATAACAAAATTACGTAACATTACGCTTTTTTTGTTATAAGAAAATTGGCCAAAGTCAAATTATGCATCTCGTATATTGATGCTCCATCAATAGCAATTTTAAATAATGGAAAATAGCATTCACTCAAGCAAAATCAACTTATAGTCACATTGAATATCGTGCGCATTCATAAGCGCTAGAGAGAGAGAGAGAGAGAGAGAGAGAGAGAGAAGTAGAGAAATAGACGTAGAAAAGAAGATGTGCAAAGAGAGGTGAGCATGTATTTGAAATAATGCATATACACTTTGAACAGAATTTCACGCCAAATGTTTTTGGTTGTTGGCAATTCGTGACACAACACACATTTTTCGATTCAAACCAACGGGTCTTTAATGAGCATCTTTGCATTTGTCGGCTCGATTTTAAATTGTGATGCAAGTCGAAACTATATGGTTTTTCGATTCGAACAAAAAAAAATCTTCAAATTCCATCGTGAAGTAAATAATGTGAGCGAGGGACATGGTGAAATGTGGTGATGTTGAATCTTCATCAAATCTGCATTAAAGCGACTTCATCGCGTTGCGAAAAACTCTCATAGCCATTTCAATAGCAATAAACTGTAAGATTAAGTTTTGTTGACTTTATTGTCGCAGACAATCAATGTGAGAAGAGTATATATTTAGAGATAATGTTGTTACTTTTTGATATTGAATAGTTTTATGTGCTGTTACGGAATTCCCAATAATATTTCAAATAAAACAACTTTTTAGCTTGACTAAGACCTTTTACATCGCATGAAATCCAAAGCACTTAATACTTGTATGTTCAAAGTTTTGAAAATTATATCAATTTCCTTGCGAATCATTTAGTTTGCATTCTTAATCCGCAAGAATTTTAATGTGATCCATGTGAAATGTTCAAGATAATTTCATTAATTTTATATTCGCAATGAATAAACCAAATTGACCAATCTTTTTAATTAAAAGCAAAACATCAGTTTCAAGATTTAATCGATTGATGGCTTTGATGAGTGGCAAGCACATTATTTTTAAAATACCAGAATAAACATTGTTTCTAAATCGAACGAACAAAAAAAAAAATGTATTTTTGATCGAATTTCAAAATGCTTTTTCAGACGCAATAAAATATTTTAAACACATTTTATGTACAAAAACTCGTTCGCATAATATACGCACTTCATTATATGTTCGTGCATGTTGAAATTGAATATATGGTTTTGCTAAAGCATGGCACTTCCGAGGTAAAGTTTCGAACAAGCGTACCGCTTTTATCGGCACCATACACCTGTAGGTATATCAGCCATAACACACTGTTTGAAATTGTATTAATTATGGGTTGAACACACGTATGTTGAGGATTTTGTAAACAACTTTTCCACATGAGATGTGATTAACGGCGCTTTTTTCTAAATATAAACACACATTAAAGGATTCAGGCCGGTTCGCTAATGATTCTGTGAGCAGCATCTTGCGTGTGTTTTTATTAGCAAGATGAGAACCACTGACAAAAAAATCGATGATAACTTTTTTATTCTCTCTCTAAAAATAAACAATCTGGAATTCTTTTACAGCGTCGAATAATGAACACTTTAAAACCCATTCACCATTTTGTACAAATCAACGTAAATCGATTTCGAATGCGATGTTGTATATTTTTCCATCTTCAACAGTGTTGGCAACGATATAACATTGTTCTGATTTATTTTGGAGTGCTGGAACGCTAATTGAAAAATTTCAATTTTAAAATTGAAACTGCAATATGATGCAGATGAAGAAAAAAAATTGAAATCAACTTTTTAGTTAACAAAATGCCCACATACGATTGCAATTAGGAAGTTGTGAATGACATTTTTCCCACCAGAAAACTCATATCAAATTAGTTAAGGTGAGTAACGGGTAAATGTGATGATACAATTGATAGAGAGTGTGGGAGAAACATAGAGGGAGAAAGAGAGAAACAGAGAAACAATGTATAGCTTGAATTCCCGCTGGAATATGGCTACAAGCAACATACAACGATAAACTTTGCTATGCTTTTATTGCGCACGGTGTCAATATAGATTGGTTCTTGTTTTATTTGTGCACAAATTTATTTG